ATTGTTAGGTAGGATAAAGTGCTAGATTTTTATAATCTTGACTAAAACTGTGAGTCATGTAATGGAAGGGAGACTGTTGTGCAAGATTTAATATTATCCTTTAAGTGCCTTAACATAGTACAGTGAAAATGTGTTGCTGAAATAAGTCTGCTCTGAGCACAGCAGAGTAGAGAGTGATCAGCACTTTTGTGTTGCAGTAGCATAGACTTATTGGATTTATCGTCCTCAGGGATTTTGGGGTGCATCCTATAAGCTTTCTCCAACTAACTTTCTACAGTAAGGGCAGCTTACAGTGCATTTTCAATTTGGATACCACTCACTGCTTTTATAACTGTGCTCAGTTAAAACACTATAGAACATGATCTAATATGATTGCTGGGTTGGGTCTTTCTTGAGGATGCCTCTGTCCCAGTGAAACCTATTGCTGGAAGCTGGTTTAAGTTGTACTTTCCTAATCTTACTGCTGCCAGCACAACATATCAGGCAGCTTCATGTCATACACAGATTGCAACCCTACGTAAACTGGATTTAATGAGCATTATAGCAAGAGACTGTGTGTGCGTGCGTGTTCCCCCTTTAGACCAGTGGGCAGGGCACTTGTCCTGGGACTCAGGTTTGAATGTCCATTTTAGAACAGAGACTTGAACTCCATTGTCCCCCACCCAGGTGAGTGCCTTGATCACCAGGCAGTGGGCTATTCTAATCTCTTGTACTGAAGGGGCTCCACTTTATATATACAGGCACTCTTCAAGTTACAAGCTTCCACACATCCAAACAAAAGCAGGCCTGCTGTCTCAAGGGAGCAGGGAAGAGGCACAGGTGGTGGACAGCAGTGCAATTGCTGGCTGAAGGACTCCCAAAGAGCAGGAGGTAGTCGTGTCGCTAGTGGTTAGAGGGAAGGGGTGATTTGAAGGAGAAGCTGCTGCCTCTCTCCAGCTGCTGGCTACACCGCCACCCTCCCCTCCTCCGGAATCCTCCAGCCTCTGTTCACTGCCTCCTGGTGAATGAGGACAGGGTGCAGCTCACAGTGGGGAGAGAGGGTGGCAAGAGCATGGGACTGGCCAAGGAGCCAGTGCAAAGCCCACGGGGCGGGGGAGTGGGGTGGAGGGAAGTGTGGCAGGCGGGGAAGCCCAGAAGTCCCCTTCGGAATCTCCATCTACCTTCTCATCCTCTTCGAATGAAACCTGCTTTTCCTCAAGCACCATCATTCAAGGTTGAATAAAAAACCAGTTCTACTATTTTCATTGCACATATACAGCAGTTCAGCTACCTGATGGGTTAAATAGGCTTTTGTGGGCTAGCCCAGGAACTTAACTATTAACCACACTGTTTCTATGGGAAAATGCATTCCGAATTCCAAACAACCAACTTACAAAGGAACGTTTGGAAGACAATCTGTTCGTTAAGTTGAGGACTTCCTGTAAGTGCTTAAATATTCATTAGTGCAGCAGCTCCCAACCACTGGGCTGCTGGCTGCCGGGCCGCAGCAGCTCTCGGGGCTGCGGTGGGTTATACTGCCCAGCACCTCCCCTCCCACTGCGGCTTGTGAGAGAGGCGTGTCCTGCTCCACCTCTCAGCCAACCAGCACCAGGTGGAGGTGGCGTCTCCTCCCATCCATGGAAGAGCAGTTTGCTGTGCAGTGGGAGGGCTGATCAGAACCTGGCATGGCAGCCTTAGAGCAGCTGGGATCTGGGCAGCAGTGCTCAGCTGGTAGCAGGGAAGCAATGCAGGGCTAAGTGAGGGGACTGGGGGCAACGGGGATGTGCCTAGTACTGGGGCCTCTGGAGATGAGAGACACTTAGAGGCAGGGGGCTGGCATTGGGGGGCTCTTGGTATGAAGCTAATACTGGGGGGAGGCTATGGGGCAGGGCTAGTACTGGGGAGCTCTAAGTGGTGGGGGGCTTTAAGAGGCAGGCAGCTGGCACTGGGAGGCTCTGAAGGTGGGTGGCTGGCGCTGGAGGGGTTGGGTGCAGGGAACTCTGGAGTCAGGCAGGTGCTGGGGAATAGTGGAGGGGTGGAGGACTCTGGGGGTTAGGGCTGGCACTGGGACTTTTTATACTTCGGCCCAGCAATCCCATTCACAAATTTTGGCAGACAGGTAATGTTTTATTTACAAATTTGAATATTTATTTGCATAATGAATATGTAAATATTCAAATAAAATGTTACCGGTCTGCCAAAAGTTTGTGAATAGGTTTGCTGGTCTGTGGTATAAAAATAGTTGGGAACTACTGCATTAATGCACAGACTTGGCTTGAAGTCTGCCCTGTGCCAAGGGAGTGCTTTAACCACTAGCCTATTCTGCTCTCAGTCTTTCTAGTTGAAGCAGAAGAACTTTGTTGAAATACAGTAGAACCTCTGTGTTACAAACACCTCAGGAGTTGGTAGTGGCTTGTAACTGAATTGTTTGTAACTTTTGAACAAAGCATTAAGATTGTTTTTTCAAAAGCTTACAACTGAATATTAACTTAATACAGCTTTGAAACTTTACTATGAAGAACAAAAATGCTTCTTTTAACCACCTTAATTTAAATTAAACAAGCACAGAAACTGTTTTGTTCTCTTGTCAAACCTTTTTAAAACACTCCCTTTATTTTATTTGTTTTAGTAATGTTCAGGGCTCGACAATTAGTGTAATCTACTCACCTGTGGCAAGTAGATTACAAACCTGCACAGCCATGCAGCGCTGTCAGCTCATGCGCAGTGTAGTCTGCGCATGCGCAGCGTGCCGAACCGCGCAGCTGGTGAGCGGGACTCACTGCCACTTGGCGAGCCCTGGTAATGTTTAACACAGTATTCTATCTGCCCGCTTTTTTTGGTCTCTGCTGCTGTCTGATTGTGTACTTTTGGTTCCAAATGAGATGTGTGATTGAGTAGTTTTGTTCTTAACTCTGGTGTTCATCACTCTTGAGGTTCTACTGTGTGTAAGTATTCCCCATTTTTATTTTCTGATGTTTTGGTTTGCTGGCCAAACTGAAAAATAAATTATTTGCTCATCCCCACCACCTACCTTTGTTTGGGGGGTATTAGCCCTTTCTGCAGATCACACTAGTGAAGGAAACCAACCTAAACCCCATATTTAAACACTTTGGGAAGGTGGGTTTACTGACGAGGAGATTGGCAACATGGAAAGAAAAGGGAAGGAGAATGAGGGAACAGGGCAGGGGAGGAGATAAGAGGACCAGGTGTGGAGTGAAGATGAGCTGAAGGGAGTTGGTGGGGAGGGGAAGGATTGGCGCAAACAGCTAATCAGTATGTGGCAGAAAAAGTCCAGTCAAAAATGTAGAAAATGCTGTTAGTGTGCAGAGGCTTCCTGCTTTGGCTGCTTCTGCACCAACCAGTAGAGGAGTCTCTGGCCAGTTTCTCTCCGCAGTTTCCCCCCAGGATGACACAGGGGGTGGAAGTGAAGCATTGCCAGTGTCCTAGGGTATGTCTACACTACCACCCTAGTTCGAACTAGGGTGGTTAATGTAGGCAACCGAAGTTGCAAATGAAGCCCGGGATTTGAATTTCCCGGACTTCATTTGCATATTGCCGGGCGCCGCCATTTTTAAATGTCCGCTAGTTCGGACTCCGTGCCCACATCTACACGCGGTATGGACTAGGTAGTTCGGATTAGGCATCCTATTCCGAACTACCGTTACTCCCCGTGGAACGAGGTGTACAGTTCCCAGTCCCATTGTACAGTTCCCAGTCCCCCGGCTATACCATATTTTATAACCTCCCACTGGTGCAGCAGGGCACATCCCTGCTTTGGCTGCTTCAGCCCCTTTCAGTGGGAGTTAATGAATGCCCAGAACCTTGTGGAAGTCAGGCCCCCTATTTATGGGCCTAAATACAGACTTGAAATATCTAACTTTAGGCAACCATATTGAAAATGGCTTGGGTCTTTTAACTACTCTCAATGGTGCCTTGTATTTTATTCTAGTTGTCCCTGTTTCACATCTAGTTGTAGACCAAGAAAAAACAATCTTCAAAGGACACTTTGCTATTTAAGTTCCAGGTTATGAACTATTTGCCACATAAAAGAAAACTATTAACCTTACTCCGATAATATAATTTGGGCACATTTTGTTGTAGACATGTCAGTCCTAGGATATTAGAGAGTCAAGTAGGTGAGGTAATAGCTTTTATTGGACTAACTTGATATTACCTCATCTGCCTTGGCACTCTAATAGTTCTGGCAGACAGTCTTGTTTTTAGTATTTATTTTCTTTCCTATGATATAGATG